GCTACATTTGTGTTGATGGCATGCGGTTGTACTTCTAAAATAATTAATTAGCTGTAAAGCATCCTGAGAATGCAAAAATGTATTAATTAATTCTCTTCATGCAAACTTGATGTCCTCGTTTCACTGATTATTAGCCAATAATTGCTTTTAAATGTTTAGCACAAAAGCCCTTTAATGTAGATGTTTCCGTCACATGGAAAACAGGTTTCATCCTGCAATCCCAGAAAAAGTAAAGACTTTTGATTACTCTAGACTAAACAAAAGGTGTGATTGTATATTACTGCGTTGACCATTATTGTGGATTGTGACTTTCCAGTATAAAATACATTTTTTTTCTTAACAGGTGGATGATAATGTAACACGCCACCTGGACAGTGTATTAAAAAGAAATGACTGGGATTTATTAATTTTGCATTACCTTGGATTAGATCATATTGGCCATCTGGCTGGACCAGATAGTCATCTGGTTGGACCAAAACTCAGTGAAATGGATAATGTTATTCAGAAGATTCACACAGAACTACTATCCAAGGTTTGTAGAGCAATAGCAAAATTTTCACTCATGCCATAATGGCTAGTGTAATGTTGACCGTTATAGAGTTATACAGCACAGAAACAGACCCTTCGTTCCAACTAGTCCATGCCGAACATAATCCCACACTAAACTAGTACTACCTGCCTGCTCCTGGCCCATATCCTTCCAAACCTTTCCTATTCATGTACTTGTCCAAATGTCTTTTAAATGTTATAATTGTGCTCACATCCACCACTTCCTCTGGATGTTCATTCCACATGCAAACAACCCTCTGTGTAAAATATTTGCCTCTCGTATCTCCTCTCACCTTAAAAATTTGCACTCTACTCTTGAAATCTCCCATCCTAGGGAAAAGACACCTCATCCATCCCATTCATGGTTTTATACACTTCTATAAGATCACCTCTCAATCTCAACTGCTCCAATGAAAAAGGTCCCAGCCTTTCCTTATAACTCAAACCTCCCATACCCGGCAACATCCTGGTAAGCCTCTTCGGACCCCTCCCCAGCTTAATAATATCCTTCCTATAACTGGGTGACCAGAAATGGAATTCAGAAGTGAGAATGTGATCCTTCAGTTGCATAGAATTTTGGTCAGTGCTAAACTAGAGTACTGTGTTCAATTTTGGGTACAAAACACCAAAAAAGATGTGCTGATTCTGGAGGTTGAACCATGCAGTTTCACCATGAAGTTACCAAGACTTTGAAGAGTTATGATATGAAGATTCTTCATTCATGTTCAGTCCTCCTTACTTACTGTTTCATCATTTTCCTTCTAGCTGTTATCCTTTTCCTCCCACCCTGCAGTTCTCTTCACTAAATCTGTTCTGTAAAGGACTTCTCTAGTTTTTGATGTGAGCCTGTGGTAAGGAATACTGCATTAATGAAAATTAAAGAATATATTTCTACTTGGAAACATTAGGAATATTGCATGATTTTACATTTTAAAAATACAAATTTGAAATGTGTTGCAAATTATACCCAATGTTTTGGTATAAAGTTGTGTGTTTTTCATTTGAATGGGGATTTGCAGCAAGGTGAAGTGACTCTGCCTAGTTTATTGATATTGTGCGGAGATCATGGAATGTCAGAGACAGGTAGTCATGGAGGATCTTCAAGTCATGAAGTGAACACTCCACTGGTTCTTCTCAGTCCTGCTTTCAGAAAGAAAGGTAAGCATCAGAAAGAAGCTTTGAATAAACATTGTAACAATTCGATTTTACTATCTGATGTGTTTGATTATTTTAAATCTTTGGCTGCTAAGCCATTTGAGTATTTCTCATTAAATTTAGAATTCCAACTTATTTTGATTGAATCATCTCAATTATGTTCAAACAATGACTGTTGCTTGGATTGGTAAAATTTTAAATGAAATTAAAAGATTATTTTTTAAATTAGAGAGATCAAAAGTAATTGTAAATAATTTTCAATTTGGACTTCTCCATCACCAATCCTTTCTATTTAACTGCTTACTGATTTTGAAAACATTTTACTGAATAAAGGTGTGATTTGTCCACTATTACATCCAGTCAGTGGTTAGCACTGCTGCCTCACAGCACCAGGGACCTGGGTTCGGTTCCACCCTCGGGCAACTGTCTGTATGGAGTTTGCTCGTTATCCTAGTGTCTGTGTGAGTTTCTGCCAGGTGCTCCGGTTTCCTCCCACAGTCCAAATATGTGCAAGTTAGATAGATTGGTCATGCTAAATTACCCAAAGTGTTCAGGGATGTGTAGGTTAGGTGCGTTAGAAGTATCTCCCTGTTCTTTACCACTACTCTGATTGATGCTGATATTGCTGAATTGAGGCCAGTTTTGTATTAAAAGCACATACCTTTTGGACTGTCTAAATTCATGTTACTTAGACCATTTAAATTTATGTAGTTTGAGAGGAAATGTTCATCCCAACATTGTGGATTGCATTTGAACCCAGTAGCAAAAGCAGTATTTTAACATACTATCAACCTCTTTTTCCCTGTTTCTGTTCCATTGATTGCCTTTGCAATGATCTCTCATTTAATTTATTCTTGTGTTAGTACAGTAATTATCTCAGAAAGTGTAAAGAGAGGGGAAGCCTAGTGGTATTATCAGTGGTTAATCCAGAGACCCAGGTAATGTTCTGCAGACCTGGGGTCAAATCCCACCACTGCAGCTGGTGGAATTTGAATTCAATAAATATCTGGAATTGAGAGTCGGACTATAACCATGAATCTGTTGATGGTTGTCGGAAAAACCCATCTGGTTCACTAATATCCTGTGGAGAAGGAAACTGCCATCCTTACCCGGGTCTGGCCTACATGTGACTTCAGACCCACAGCAATGTGGATGACTCATACCTGCCCTCTGGGCAATTAGGAATCGGCAATAAATGCTGACCTAGCCAGTGATGGCCTCATCCCGTGAATGAATATTGCCAATGCCAAGTGTGCACATGGAACAGCCAGTTTCATTTGTTCTGTGGTCTTGAGTTGTATATAATTTAGATCACATATAGGATGATAAGATAAACGATTCTTTTTGAAACTGTGTTTGCATTTTATTAGTTTACTAACTTGGAGTGGGAGGTTGAACCCACACACTTTGGATTCAGAAGAGAGTGCAGCCAAACTCTGGTGTGCAGTGCTTGTCGCACTGCACTTTTTAAATGTGGAAGGATAGGAATCTTGAAGAACGTTGTACGTAGGAAAGCAGTAAAGCAGCCATTTGCAATACAGCTTGCACTGTATTCAAGCCATCTTCAGTTAGCTAAACTTAACCACATTATTAGTGGTACTGTACTACATGACTACAAGTTCAGTCATGAGACTACTTTTAACAAGATGAAATTGAAACATGTTTATTAAGTTTTCAGGTAAGCTACAGCAATGAACTGGGGTAGTGATTTACAGTATAACATGGACTGTATACTTCCTGCATTATGACTGGATGGCGACTGCACGATGACTTTTCTTTTTACATCTTTTGGTCTGCAAGCTCCTTTATGTTTCTGGCTGTCCCTCTCTCTCTCTCTCTCCCTCCTTCTGTCTAGTCTACATATCCTTCTGTTCCTAACCTCTCATACTTATAATTATGCCCTTCATATTTATTACTGCATCAAGGCTTTACATCCATGCTTTCTTATCCCATAGAGGGACTCATCTACATTTCATTCTTGCATCAGTTTCCCACAGACAGCATTCAAGATTTTAGCTTTTGGTTAGTGTATGCAGCAAAACTTGTCATGACCGCCCAAAATCCCTCTGTCTTGATAACATTTTCTATAGTGTGTCCTACTTCTGGATTTTCCCACTTGATCATAAAAGTTGTTACTAAAATTATATTTTAATTTCTATTAATAAAGTTGGATTTTAACAATTAGTATTCTGGTTGGTAATTTATAATCTTACAGGGGAAAGAAAAGTGCCAAAAACTTAAAAGTCTACAAGGACCCACATTTAGAATTGTCGTTGCCCTGCTCAGTGCCATGGAGTGAGTGATTTATAGGAAGTTTTCCCCATTTTGTGTATCATTCACTGTCTGGAAAGACTATGGAAAATCCCTGCTTCCAGGGTGTCTCCAGCACTTTATAATAACACAAGGTTATCATTGACAGCTATGTTCCAGTGTATAGGTACAGGTTGTTCTTCAATAATCGATAATCACGTTTTTGTGTGACCTTGCATTATAGAAAATCATGTTATAGGGAAATCGCTATACCTTTACAGCAGAAAGTTCGCGTAATCCACACAGCATCCAAATTCATTGATCGTGTTACAGCCATTAAAAAAACATTAAAAGTAAAACAAAGAAGTGCAGGTGCTGGAGATCTAAAACAAAAACAGAATTTGCTGGCAAAAATCAGCAGGTCTGGCAGCATCTGTGGGTGTTAATGTTTCGAGTCTGGTGATGAAAAGTTTCTGTTTTTGTTTCATAACATTAACTTAATTATAAATATACTGCTGTTGACACTTTCATCCATATCTGTAACATTTGAAAAAGCTTTGACTGAGGGCTCGTACAACATTGACCTTTCTTTTGAAGAAAATGGCACTGATTACTAATGCATTGTAAATCGTAAACCTGGCTCATGAAAATTCTTGTGTTTGTGCAGGCCGGAATATTATGCATTTAACGTGGAATTCTGCTATTACATTATCCTAACTGGGAATTAAATTATTTGTAGATAATACATTTTGTCCAATGTTAAATTTTCAGACATTAGACAAATTAATTATTCAAATTTACTTTTCTAACTTCCAGATTCATTCACTGCTTCTGAATATGTCGAGCAAACAGACCTCACTTCCACTTTGGCGTTAGGATTTGGTTTGCCTATTCCAAGGAACAGTTTGGGGCGTCTCATTTTAAGTGTCCTTGAGGAGAAGTCTTTAAGGGAACAGCTTAGATATTTGCATCTTAATGGATACCAACTTAGTAAGCTAGTTCAAGAGAGTATTCCTACATATGAAAAAGGTAAGGTGCACCACACTGAATTTTGGATAAGCCACTGAGAAAGGTTCCATTGCCAAATTCTAAAGGTGTGAAGCAGTTCTTGAGATTTGTTTAAAAACTACTAGAGATGTTGAGTATTTTGTCATAAGCATTTGCCAGCTCACTTTACTGTCATGTGCTTCCGTATTGTCAGACCAAAATATTGAACTTTTTAAAGAGAACAGTCCTGAAACATGCCCATTTATTTTGTCCTTATAGTCATTTTTGAAAAAAAAAGTGGGCTCTTTAAACATTTACAGTGTGATTTCTAAGATTTCTAAATAACAGCACGTCAACCTTTGGCACACAATGTACCTTAAAGCTTTCTCATTCCGAGTTTATTTAAATTGAATTGCCCACAAAACCCTGTTGTTATCTACTATCAGTGGGGGAATATCAGATCAGTTTATAAAGTTATCCATCTTTCCAGTTATTGCGTTTGTGACCCATCTCAGCTAACTGACTAAGTGCCCTTTGGCCATCACACCCAATGACCTATGTTAGCTTCTTTCCCAGTAGAAACTCAAATTAAAAATTTCCAACCTCCGTTGCCTGAACAGATTTCTAATCTCTGTAACTCCAATAGCTGTACAACTCTTCAAAAGCTTTACATTTCTTCAATTCTGGCCTTTTGTATTTCCAACTTTATTGGCAGCATGCACTCAATTGTCTAGGCTGTAGGTTCTGCAGTTCATTGACTACATTTCTTGCTGCCTCTCCACCTTATTCTGGACGCTTCTTAAAACTTAGCTCTTTGACAAAGCTTTCAGCTCCTGCCTTCGTATGTGGATGTGTAAGCTTTTGTCTGATAATGCTCCTGTGAAGAGTCTTGGGGTGTTTTACTATGTTGAAGTCACCCCATAAAGATATAAATTTTCAAAAAGATTTCAGTGATAAGCCACAGGGTCTTGACTGTATTCATCCTAGGCTTGTGAAATAACTAGAAAAGTAACAGAGGCTTTGAGTGCCATTTTCAAATTCTTTAAATATATAAACTAGGTTGTGATAATGGCAAATTTTTCGAGAAGGGGCAAAACATAAACTAAAAGGAAAAATAAAACCTACATTTATATAGTGCCTTTCATGACCACAGGGCTCCTCAAAGCTTTTCACTGCCAATTAAGTTATTTATGATGTGCAGTCATTGCTGTAAAGTAGGAAATGCAACAGCTGATTTACACACCGCAAATTCCCACAAACTACAAAGTAGTAATAGCCAGATAATTTTTCTTTTGATTTTGTGGAATAAATATTGGCCAGAACACTGGTGCTAATTCCCCTGATCTTATTTGAAAATAGTGCCGTCAAATCTTTTGCACCCACCTGATGTGAGAAGGTGGGGCCTTGGTTTAACACCTCATCCAAAAGACAGCATCAAAATCAGTGCAGCTCTCAGTCAGTACAAAGTACTCAGTATCAAATCCCTTGACTTTGTACTTTTTGCCTTGGAATGAGATGTGAATCTAGAACAAGTGGTTCAGAGGTGAGAGTGCTATCAATTAATTGTAAATTGTATAATAATAGACCAGTCAGCTGTGGATAGACTTTTGAAATCCATAATTTGAGGTCAGTTAGTATTTAGAAGCAGCATGTTATGGTAGCTTAAAACTAAATTGTATTTAGCAAATTAAGAATTATTGATTGAATGTTGGATAGATGGATGGAATGCAGTAGATTTTCAAATGTGTTTTATGAGGTGTCCCAAAGGAAACTTACTAGAAAACTTTAGATTTATGGAATGAGAAGAAATGAAACAAAATTGTCATTTGATTAATGGACAACAATAAAGATTTATTTGTATCCTGAGCTTGGAGCTGTGCCTGCTTTAAAATAAAGATACATCACTTCCATAAAACTACTTTTAGGCTTTCTAGCTGTAAAATGTTTCATTTTCCTTGTAAGATCAGAATGCTTTGCCCCTTCTTTGGCCACAACTGATTATTACAGGACACTGAGATTGTTGAATACTTTCATTGTGATCATTTTCCTCAACCTAACTAAGTTGCTTTTTGCAGATCCTGGATACAAACTATTTGGAATAGCACAAAAATCTCATGGTTCCTGGATAAAACTTTACTTCGAAGGTAACTCTTCGGAGACTCTTGCAAACCTAGGAAAGAAGGTGCTGAGGCAGTATTTGGATGCCTTGAAGTTAATGAGTTCCTCACTTTCCAAAATTGTGGCACAGTATGATATGTACTCCATGATTGTGGGAACAATTATTGTGGTGGAGGTAGGAACTTTTGCGCAACGTTGATTTAATTTCTCTTCCCTTTTCCATATTTGGTTAATTACAATGTTATACTGTATAGAGAGAGGACAGTGGCAAATCAGTCGGATTGCAATGTATCCAGTTTACAGGCACTCAGTGTGTGCACATATTCTCTGCTTACATGCATCACTCGCCATTTTGGTAAAAGACAATTTGTAAGCATCCTAGATACACCCCTGAACAAAACATTAGAGCTGTAGATTTATGCAGAATGGTCTGTTTATGGACCCTTCTGCTATACTTGATTGGAAATGACTGCAGAGTACACGTGAGACATTGAAGAAGTACTTAGGTAATTTATTACTTTGGTGTCATTGATGGAAAAGTTCAGACTACACCTTGGTGAAGAGTGGGTTAAGTGGAGATTCGTTGTAGTTGTCAGAATTATGATGGTAGTTGAAATTATGACAAGTTGTTGTAGAATTGATGTGGAGAACCTGTTTCCACAGGCAGTAGGTGGGTAACTAAAAGGCACTGGTTGATTTTATTTTTATGCAATAAGCTGTAACAATCTGGAATACATCACTTGAAAGAATGGAGGCAGCAGATTCAATTGCATGTTGATAGCATGGTGGCTCATTGGTCAGCACTACTGTGTCAGAGCGCCAGGGACCCAGGTTCAATTCCAGCCTCGAGCAGAGTCTGTGTGGAATTTGCATGTTGTCCCTGTGTCTGCATGGGCTTCCTCTGGGTGCTCCAGTTTCCTTCCACTGTTCTAAATTTGTGCAGGTAATGTGGATTGGTCATGCTAAATTGCCCATAGTGTCCAGGGATATGTAAATTAAATGGATTAGCCATGGGAAATGCAGGATTATAGGGATAGGGTATGGGGCTGCGTCTGAGTGGGATACTGTTTGGAAGGTCAGTGTGGACCCAATGGGCCAAATGGCCTGCTTCTACACTGTCAGGATTCTATATAAAAAAAACTTGCAGAAAGAAATCAGATACATGTTTGAAAAGGAAAATTCTTACAAGACTTTGAGGAAAAAAGTAAATAGAGGCATTAATCGGACCTTGTGTGAACCCAGCCATCTGGTTTCGGCAGGTTTGACTGATCCTGGGGACTCTGCACCTTGATTCTGTCCTTTCCTGCTGTCCACAGGGTGAAAGTGGTTTCTGAGTAATGAGCAGGAACAGGAATCCATGAAGATATGCCATTCCTTATCAGCTGTGGGCACTGAGGCTAACTGCTGTGCTCCCAGTCCCAGTGAGATCAGATATCTCAAAGAGCACGGATTGGATCTGGGACCTTCTTGGTTTGAATAAAAACAGAAAGAACTGTGGATGCTGTAAATCAGGAACAAAAACAGAAGTCGCTGGAAAAGCTCAGCAGGCCTGGCAGCATCTGAAGAAAAAATCAGAGTTTCAGATCTGGTGACCTTCTTGGTCAGGATGGTTCTGCTAAGATGGCTCTCCTAATTCCTATTCATTTACAAAAAGGACAATAAATGGGTCTTGTCCTGCACAAGACCTTTCTAATTGGGTTTACCATGTGGAATGAACTGTTAGAAGAAGTGGTAGATGCAGGTATAGTTACAACATTTAAAAGACACTTGGACGGGTACTTGAAAAGGAAAGGTTTAGAGGGATATGTGCCAAATGCAGGCAAGTGGGACTAGTTTAGTTTGGGAAACTTGTTTGGCATGGATGAGTTGGACTGAAAGGTCTGTTTCTGTGCTGTATAACTCTATGACTCTATAACTCATACAAAAAGCATTTCTGTGCTGTAACCTTCAAAGGTTTCTCATAATGACTAGTGGCTATTTGAAATTTCCAGTATACCTTAATGTCTTTGAATGCCAATCTCCACATCTGAGAAAATATCTATCCAAAAAGTGGTTTATTTCAACTGTGGTAGAGCCCAGCCCATGAATGCAAAACAAAGGCAAGAACTTTTAGTAGCTTCAGTAGTAAAGGTGCCTCCTCTTAAAGATCCCATGTCACTGAACATGATACTGTGAAATAATTCTGTGTACAGAAGATGACAAAGATTATGGCAGCACCAAGAGGAGAGAATGGCCTGGTGCTATTATTGATAGGCTGTTAATCCAGAGACCCAGATAATGTTTTGGGAACTCAGGTTGAAGTCCTGCCATGGCAGATGGTGGACTTTGCATTCAATGAAAATAAATTGGAATTAAGAGTCTAATGATGACCATTATTGATTGTCAGAAAAACCATCTAGCCACTAATGTCCTTTAGGTTAAGAAACTGCTGTTCCCTACAGACCTACAGCAATGCGGTATCCTCTTTTAACTGCCCTCTGGGAAATTAGGGATACGCAGTAAATGTTGGCCTAGACAGTGATGCCCACAGCCTGTGAATGATTTTTTTTGAAACAATCACCTGGATGGCATCCAGGTTTGAGCTAACAAGTGACATTTGTATCAGATATGTGTCAGGCACGGTTTACCCTCACCCATAAAGAACCAATTCACTTACCCATGAACTTCATTGTCATAACCTTACCCCAGTCCCACTCCCTTAATGTACTTGGGATCATCGTTGATAAGCAACTTAACAGAACCAATATTGATTGCAAGCACAAGGCAAAGACAGATTTGTGCTTCATTTTATGACGCTTCAGTGAACTTCTCATAGAATACTCACTTGGATTTGTGCAGTTAGAAACTCAATACTATGCAAAATAAGGTAGTCTACTGATTAGAATCCAGTGCACTTTGCTTACAGGATGCATAGCAGCAACTTTGAGCTTGTGCTTATCATGTGTCTCAATCCTATGAACCAACCACCAAGAAGGACAAAAACAGCATGGCCATGAGAATGCCATTGCCTCTAAATGCACTTTCTATTAGTATTGCTGTTTGTTCATTTATTGTTGCTGTGTCGAAATCCTGAGTTCTGTAACTTAACACCTTCTCAGGTCTGGGCAACCAGAGATGACTGTTTCCTTCACATTTTACATCAAATATTTTAATAAATTGTGAACTCTTATTGAGCAGTTTTGTTCAGATCAATTATGCACACCTCAACTCACATCCTGCAGTTGTGCACTTCTACTGCTGTATGGAGTTTTACAAGCTCCAAAACGGCAGTTGTCCATACCATTATCAACCACAAGGTGAATGTATTAATGGAAGTTTATGTTATCTCTGACTTTCTGTGGGAAATGCATTTGTATCTGACATTTTTGTTTATATTTTTAGGTGATTTTCCTTCTAATAGTGAGTACTCCAGATGCACTGGGCAGCACTGCTGAATTTGAAGTACCGCTGTCAGCAGCATTCTACTCCCTCCTGTTCTATCTGCTGTGTCTGATGTTTACAGCTATTCATATTATTGTACGTACATCAGCAAAGACATCCTGCTATTTTTGTGACGTATCCTGGCTGCTGGCTGCAACAGTGATTGTACTGATATCTGCCCTGCAATGTGTGCTCATTTCAACTCTTTGGAAGCGTTTTACAAATGGGAAGCCTCAACACAAGGTGATTCACTGATATTGAAATGTGTCAGAAAATTAAGAAAAATACCAGCAGTTCTGTTCACTCAAATTAAGTCGCGGTTTTGACTTTATGCAAAGAAGTCCACTGTACATTTGTAGGTTTGTGTGTTTTTATGGCTTGGAATTCTTCACATTATTTGTGCCAGGAAATACTCTTCTAAATTTTGGAAAGGCGATTGCTGCAAATGTTTAGATTTTGGTGAGTGTACGTTTTGTTAGACTTCACAAAATTACTAAGTACAGAAGAAGTGACTGATGGCTCATGAACAGACTTATTTGTCCAGGTTGTATCCATTTAATTTTACCTCATCTCTGCAGTTCCTCCAGATCTTCCAACCTCACCGGGGTAAGTTGTGAACATGTGCAGATGATGTCAAAATGGGAGGTCTAGTTAACTATTTTTAAAAATCAAAGA